AATAAACGCAATATTTAAACATAACATCTAGATACCAATAATCATGTTTAATAACTCCAAAGTAATTTCAACATCACAAGTGGTAATCATTACACAACCTTGAGTTTTAGAAAATACATTTCTGATAAACTGTTAATCTTTATATCTAACTATTTGATTCAACACGATCTCTATGCAGTGGAGGGACTCACAATGGAAGTTTAAGAGAAGAAATTACCTACGTCGTAGCGAATCAAAGTATGTTAAGACAATATACTTGAGCTAATCACTTATTTGTAAAAGGAAATAAAAGGGTGAGTCTCACAGACTTAGTGATCATCAACTATGTGAGTAGAGCATAGCTGGGAAACAAGCTATGAACAGGAAATTTGAATATTAAAAATATAAGCATATATATAAACATATAAGTTCAAAAGGAGAATTTGTGCCTTACATGTAAAACCAGAAAGTTTAATGCCAGATAATCATTTAAATCAAATATCAAACTAATTCATATAAAGATCTCTGCCATCAAAATCATTTAACAACTCGCTTAAAGCAAATTAATATAGTCACGCATGCTTCTATAAAATCCAACATTAACAAAGCTTATATACAAATTCATAAATCACCTCGTACGTGAATAATTAAATCCAATGTCATCGTATAAGTAGAGGAGCTGCAGATAAACCGTTATTTCTCACCATGCAAAAAACTACATACGTGAAAACCTAAAGAGATATCACTCTCGAGTAGGTAATAGTAATCGCTCATGGCCCCGCTTCCACGTAACAACATCCGAGAGCTCCGCTCCATCGGATCCCCCCAGCCATGACAGTCTCAATGATGTTGGCAGACATCGGAGAAATCAGACGATCACAACCGCATATATCACTTATGGCCTAGCCACATATATCTACCCATGGCCTTGTCACATATATATCACAGACTGTAGCTCCAGCCACGTCTAACAATCCGTTGGTGACCCAAAGATTCTCTAGTTAGAGCTCACTTATGCACAAGGGTCACACTATCCTGATGTGACCTTCGACCTACTCTCGAATCTCCCGATTTAGTAAAATCATTTAAAAATCAAGTTGGGATCACAAAAGCTTATTTCAAAACCATTTCTGAAATATTCAGAATGGTAACATGACAAAATCCCTTATAAGACTTTAAAACATAAACCCTCTGCATGAGGTTAAAAGATTAATCCACATGGTGGATATGTGTTTCAATCATGAATGTACATCACACAAACTATAAGGCACTTTTTGACATAAATCATATTAAAATTCTTGTTTCTCACTTTTAAAATCCTTTACATATATATAGTTTATATATATATATATATTCAAAGCCATTTTCAAAATCTTGGCATCCACAATTTTCCTAGTAGTTCTACCAACTCATGCTTTCCACAAATTTGCTTTTAAAGTAAATCAACATGTATATATATATATATATATATTTATATAGTTATAGGAATTTTAAAACGGACACCCCTTACCTCACAATAGCGGGATGCTACGTCGCTATTGATTCTTGTGCGTATCTCGCTAATTCTATTTGCCGATCACTCGTTACCTCCTTCGGTACGCCACCACGGTAACTTTTCTTACTTATACTCTTCATAGCAACCATTCAAACCTAATACATTTAATCATGCTCATACATGGCAGCATATCAAC